TTACTCCAACACCGCATCCTACGGATGCTAAGGAGTATAGTCTCCAACTCCACACCCTTTTGGGTGCTAAGGAGAGTAAGTCTCCAACACCACACCCATTTTCAGGCACTAAGGAGAGTAAATGCTACACCTAGTGTCTCGAGATGCCAGCAATGCCATATGGACTTAATCATCACTATCTTCATTAGGGTGACCTCCCACCCTCTAATATGCCACATTTCACTACATATCTCTACTTAACTATACATAAATAACTTTCCAAACCAATATAACAAATCTTACCATTCATTTCAACAATATAGAATTTTACAAACCAATACTCCACTCATTTACTAAAATAGTTAACCTTTAAAAAATTTATACATATATACTCAACAAATCATAAAAAAGCATTTGAGAATAACTTATACAAGATAATAAACAATGTAAATTATCTAGTTACCTCAACCCTTTTTTTGTTACTAAAAGGGTTACCCGTGGTACTAAATTTCTTCTCGTGTCAAGGTAAGTCTTCCCACACCACAATCTACAATAATAAGTACTTTATGTTAATTTTCAATTAACACAAGCACTATTAACTACCAATAACCTCCCAATTCTCCCACTTCTTACTCATATTCTTAACAAATAGGCTTGTTAAGATTAGAATTTATTCACACCATCCCTTTAAGTCTCTTTCTAATTCTATCACAACATAAAACTTAATATCTCAACTTATCACCGTTCAACACCCTATGATCAAGTTTAGGCTTGATCCAAAATTCACTAAACAAGAAATTATCTTCCTATTACCATATATCCAAGATTAATAAACCTAAATTAAACCTTTAGAGTCAATAGAAACCTTCAAAACATTGACTCATGGCTTAATCCAATCAGAATAAATTCTCCATGAAAAATGAGATGAAATGATAGAGGAGAAGGGTAGGAAACTTACCCAAGAGTTTAGAGACTCAAATTATCTTTAAAATCCTTCTAAATTGATGCCCTAGCAGTGCCCAAAGTTGCTCCCTTCGTGCCCTTGGTTTTCCACCCCAAAATCTGTCAATTTCTAATCATTTTTAAAATTTCAAGTTGCCTGCTGTACTGTGCACCTAACTTGATCCGACTTTCATCCTATCTTAATTTAAAGCCAAATATGACCTAAAAATCTAATTAGCGACCCAAAAACATAATTAAATAAATTAATCATATTTTTAACTAATTTATACCTTAATTAATCAACTTTTTCAGATTTAAAGTTTTAGGATGTTACATTCTTCACAAGTAGGACATCCTTTATGCCCCTTAACATTGAACCTAGTCAAGTTCTCATATGTAGGAAAGTTATTTATTATGTAAAAAATCATAGAACATAACTTCAAAAATTGTTGCTAGTAAGCATCGAATACATTAATGCCCTCCTCATATATCATCTTAAAGTCCTCAATCAAGGGTGACAAATACACATCGATGTCATTTTTGGGTTGTTTTTGTCTTAAGATCATCATGGCCAACATGATATATTTGCATTTCATACACAACCAAGAAGGTAGATTGTAAATCACCAAAAGAATTGGTGACACATTATGTGTGCTGCTGCTATTACTAAAAAGGATTTATTCCATCTGTATAAAGTCTAAGTCAAAGATTTATGAACTCACTACTAAAACTAAGAAACTTTTGATCTATCATCTTCCATTAAGGAGAATCAACTAGGTGCTAAAGTTTACTATTTAGATATTCTCTCATTAAAATGCCATATCAAATTCTTTGCTTTCGTGGAATTAGAATACAAACACACAAATCATAGTATTATTAGAAGATACTCTAACACCTTTGAAGGTAAGCCTTTAGTGATCTCATTATTATTACCATCTATCTCTTTCTTTACTTTGTATCATGATGCCCCACATTTTGGACATTTATGTAGCCCTTCATGCTCTTTTCTATACAATACACAATCATTAGGACAAACATGTATTTTTTTATATATTGCATACCCATTAGGCACAAGATTTTCTTAGCCTCGTAGTGACAATTGGGAAGCGTATTACCATCAGGAAATATATCCATCAACAATTCAAGCAACCAAGTAAAACTTATATTGGTCTACCCATATCTTGCCTTCAAATTGAACAATCTCAACACACCAGTTAAATGAGTATACTTTTTACACTTCGGATGCAAAGGCTTCTCTTTATCACTTTGCAAGTTTTCATCTACATGTGCTTGTGCAAAGGAATTCATTCCAATATCAAGGATCATATCTTCTATTCTATCATCCCAAGTACAAATTTCATTCCTTCATCCAACAATATTCATTACAATAAATTTAATTCCTCCATCCAAAAAAAAGAATTTTATTAATTATAAAAAAATAAAAACATCAAAAGCAAATGGAGAATATATATATATACAAAAACATCATACAAATATATAACCAACCACCCAAAAAATAAAAATTTTTCATAAACCAAAGAAAAGATAGGAAAACAAAATCATACTTACTTGAAATCTATGGATGAAAGTGCAACCCAAAAAACCAACTTCAAGCAACATCCAACAATGAAGGAAGAGGAAGAAGTAATTACCTACTGAAACAAGTACCCAACGAAAGATTCACTAATAATGAAAGACAATGGAAGAAAGATTAAAGCAAAAGGAGACCTCAAATCAATGAATAATCTTGATCCACAAAGAGAAATCAAAACCATAGAAATGGCAATGGCGTATGGCAATGGAAGTGACGGATTGCGGCACTAGGAGGCTTCGGTAGCACAACATGCAACTTCGACGTTAGGGATAACCTCTTCGACAACAAAGATGCGATAGCAGAGGAGAAAGCATTGGGAAATTTCAAACAAAGAGAAAAAATCACATAACAGAAAGGTCGCGTGTCTTCAAATAATTTAATACCTTGAAATATGACTTAGTTCCCATTATAACTGATGTCATATCTAACTTTCAACATCATGTCCTTCTGAACTGACATTAAAAAGGTATATTTTTTAAATTGTTTTTATTTTTGTCTTCCAACGTCAGTTCATAAGGAATCGATATTGAAAGACTGAGTTTCCACATTAGTTATCCTAATAACTAACATGGAAACCTTATATGACATCAGTTATTGTATAATCGATATCAAGAGTCCCACCCTATGCCACCTAAAATTTTATATATTTATAGTTTTGTCATTGCCTTATTTATGACAATGGTGATTTATAAAACTGACATTAAAAGGCAACGTGAAAAGCATTTTTTCTAGTAGTGAACTCTACAAAATCACTAACCTCAAGCATAGAAACTTAAATTAACTCCCAATGGTTCCATTAAAACCAATGGGTTAAGTTAAAACAACCCCATACCAAAAATCGCCATCCTTCATTCCCCAAAATCACACAATGAGAAGGCAAGAGAATAGTTAGAGAAGCCTACCAAGGTGATTTCAAGCTCAAATGGCCTCCCAAGTAGAGAAACACCATGCTCCTCCTTTTCTCCCATTTCCTCTTCTAATTTTCGAACACTAGCTCATGTAATTTAAGCTCAAACTCGCACCATCTGCCGTAACACATGATGTATCCACCCAAAAGATGGTACAAATGCCTACTTCGTGATTTTAGGTCCTTTACTTAGGACTGCCCAATGCCCAACCTACCCCAATCCTAAGGCTATTCAACATTCCAAAAAGTCCATAAGTGATTTGGAAACATAATTAACTCAATTAATGCTCCAAATTACTAATTTGATCTCAATTATTTCAAAAATCCTATATTAAAATTTTTGAGATGTTACATGCATCATCTTATGATTTAGTATAGTTGTGAATTTAAAGAAGATCATTCATGAATCTAGATTAGTTGTGAATGAATGAGTAGTTAAATATAAATTTAGGATTTAGGATTGACCCTATTTTATTTTTTGAATATTCATTCACAACTAGTGGCTTTTGCATAAATTTATTAGTACCTTTCCTAAACTTTATAAGTTATGACTATCATTCAATTTAAAAGTAATGATGCATAAATTTACAAAACTATCTATCCAGATATTCACTTTCTTTAAATTCATAAGTAACATTCAATTAGCTATTTCAATAATTAGAGGTTTTTTATTTGTAAATAAAGACTATAGTCTTTCATAACATTTCAATTCTAAATTTTCAATTGTCATTAATATCTTCCCAAGGGTTTGTAATTATCATTTTCCCTTAAAACTTGTTTTAACATTTATTTCTTGTAAAATAAACAAATCTTATTTAATAAAATTTTTAATCATGTAAAAATATTTACATTAAATAAAAGCATTAAAAAAATTCAAATTTAATTTAAATGGTCCAATTTTAAAATGTTTAAAATAATTCTTTTAATTAATCTATTCATTACTAATTAACATGGCTAGTCTAGATTTTTTTTTTGGCTGAATAGTCTAGATTTATTTTAGAATATCCAAATATAATATTAAAAAATTGTAATTTTTATAAATTCATTGTATGTTTTGGAAAGTCCAAATTTAATATTAAAATTTACAATTTATAAAAATTTTTAATATTAAAATAGAATCATCCAGATTAAATTTCAACTATTTAGATTAATGATAAGCATATTTATTAAAGAAATCATTTTAATAAATGTAAAATGATAATATAAATTTAAAATATTTTTAATCCATAAATAATCTGAATGCCCCGAACATTGGTGATGCGCACCAGGGTCATTACCATTACCCTGACGTGGTACCAGAAGACAAATCAGGTACATCGCACTCGGGCAGATCCGTTCACTAAGATTGATTTTGGGTTCTCACCCACGTGAAACGGGTGCAACATAATACCTCTTGTTTCCGTACTCCCAAATTAAGACGTCCCTCAGAAATAAACATTCGAGATTCAAAGTAACCACTGTTTCCCTTCTTGGAAAGGTTTATCATTTCCCCTACCTGTGGTTTCTTTCCTTTCTCTCGCCACTGTCTGCGACTCTTTCTTAAACCAGATTAAGACCTGTTCGATCCGACACACGCAAATGTCTTGTTCGTCGTCTTCACCAAGATCGCTTGTCTCTATGGGCTCAGAAAGTTCTATCACCACACTTCAACAGCGTCTTCAGTTCATTTTGCACAGCCGTGCTGAGTGGTGGGTGTACATCATCTTCTGGCAAGCTTGGAAAGACGACGACGGAAGTTGCAGTCCTCGCCGCCAGGTACTCAATTGGGGGGACGGCCACTTCCGTGGAACCAGAGAGTCGTCCACGTCCAAGCCCAAGCAAAACACGAGTGATGATCAATGGCGAAGCCCTAATAATCGGGCGCGAAAGATGAGGTTGATTCAAACCCACATGGAAGGTGAAGGACACGTGACTGAGTTGGAATGGTTTTACACTGGATCGTTGACACGATCGTTCGCCGCCGGGGAAGACGTGGTTGGGCGTGCCTTCAGCTCAGCCACACATGTTTGGTTGGCTGGCGGCGGCCACGGCGGAGATTTGCAGTTCCACGAGTGTGAAAGAGTTCGAGAAGCTCTTGCTCATGGGATCCAAACTTTGGTGTGCATTCCCATTCCTAATGCACTTGGCGTGCTTGAGCTTGCCTCCACTGACTTAATAATTCAAGATTGGAGCCTCATTCAATTGGCACAATCAGTTTTCGACTGTGACAACAACAACATCATCATCAACCCCATAAATCCACCAGATCCTTTTGTTTCTTCCTCCCCCAAGCAGCAGCCTCGCGCCATCAGAAAAAAGCAGGGAAGAAATGATGACGACGACGACGACGATACAGTGAAACCACAAGATCAGTTACTAACGCCTCTAAACCACGTTGAGGCTGAGAGACAGAGAAGAGAGAGACTGAATCAAAGATTCTATGCTCTCCGTTCTGTTGTCCCTAATGTGTCCAAAATGGACAAAGCTTCTCTGCTATCAGATGCAGTCACGTACATCAATCAACTCAAGGCCAAAATTGAAGAACTAGAGGCCAAATTCAAGAAAACGGAACAGGAAGAAGAAGCTGCCACAAAGCGCTATCATTGTTCGAGTTCTGAAGCGAGTGCGGTTGGAATCGAAGTCAATATAGTGGGAACGGAGGCGATGATAAGGGTTCAGAGCCTGGATGTGAATCACCCAGCTGCAAGATTAATGGATGCTCTGAGACAACTTGATTTTCATGTTCATCATGCCAGCATGTCAAGAGTCAATGACCTGATTCTGCAAGACGTCGTCGTCAGGGTTCCCAATAATTTCATGACTGCCCAGGCCATGAAAAATGCCATTCTACAACGTTTACAGAACTGAGTGTTATATAGATATATATATATATATACAACATTAATTGTCGGTGATCTGTGTGTAAGTGCTCCTTCCAAACTTTGCGTCTTCTTCCATTCTGCCACTTGCTTCTTGATATTAATTGCATCACATTAATCATGATTCTAATTTTTCCCGTTATTGATTCATTTATTTATCATCCGGCAAGCCCGCTCATGTATGATTTCGTTTGTATCATTGACTTTGTTATACTTCAAATAAAATGAGATGCAAATTCTTTCTATATAGGTCTAGAGCAATTTTTCGAAGAATTCTATCTCAGGATGATATTTTAAAATTTCCTCTGTTGGAAATTAAATGGCATAAATAAAAGAAAGCTCAGGGTGAGACATATCGGATCCGGATATGGAGCAGATAATCAGATTACCCACCCAAAGGATAGACTATAACTACTAGAGTCCGTTTAATAAGGCAGAGCAGATTCTATAGGAGAGAGTGAATATAGACATGAACTCAATTTTGAGGTGTGTTTTTACCTCTAGCTAGGCACCTCCATTTAATACAACATGAAAACTAAGCATAATTTTGATTTGCTTTACTTGGTACTTATAAAATTTTAGACTTATTTAAAAATACACAAGTTATTCTAGGGAAGTCAGATTCAGCTCATTCTTATCTCCTTTTAAATCCCAAATAGTCTTTTATAGGGGGAAAAAATACTAAACCGGACTTTGACTGAGCCATTTAATTTACAGTTTATTTGATAGAATCCCTTATTTTGCTCTTACTAGTTTCCTAGATGCATTGTCTTCTTTTTGAAAATTCATATCTCACAGTTAATGTGACTCTAACTTTTTGGAAACATTAGAACGTTCATTATGAGGGAAAATATGAAATAGGATGTTGTTGGCCCCATTGATACAGTTTAATAGATTAATAACTTCAGAATGTGTTCCTTATCATGAAAAGATTATATCCAGATCTAGTTATAAAACTTCAATTGACATGATTTTAGACTCCTCGAAAACCTTATAACTTTATGGGAAAATATGAAACATAATTTCAGGTTTTCGAGTTGATATAGTTCATTTAATCCTTAAAACTGCATTATTATCCAGATTTTATGCACTGACCTGAAAAGTTCATAACTAATTCAATACAATTCATTGTGGTGTGATATACTTCTCCCAGCGATTACATATTATTCCAATCAAGTCGTATGTAATAATCACTCAGACACTTAAACCCATTCTTCCCTTCGATAATTTCTGCTCTTGCCACATAATTAATACCTGTTTACATTAAGTAAAAAAGGTAACAAGTTAGTGGGAGAATTAATGTGTTAAGTAGTTATTCTTATTTACTTCGTATAAATTTTTCCTTCACATTCCGATGCACTATTTGGTCATTGAATTGCAAAATGGTTGCTATGTATTGAAGTACTTCAACACGTAACGTAGTATTAAACTCAATCTAAGAGTGCTTTAGAAAAGCCTAATTATGACTAATATATTTCCATTCCTCTTTTAATTTATTAGTATTTAATTCTGGCATCCAATTCTCAATTATTCATGGTTTAATATTTGTAATTTCTCCTTTGAATTATAAGTGGGAAATATGTCTCTTTAACCTTATTGGGTTATTTCTTTTTCATCATGTAAATACATGGTAAATTTCATTTACCACAAAATAACCCATTTATTTACATTTAGCTCTTTACTCTCTCTGACATTTGTTGCCTTAATTTCCTGTCATATTTTCAGGCATCTCTCTATACTTTCAGGGAGCATATCTCTCAAAGCGTTGGATTTTTTTGTTGGCAACACTGGCATTCCTGACACTTCTTAAGTTTTTTCTGTACTTCAAGGACCACGTTCCTATCCAATTTTCAACTTACCATTGTTGTATTGCATAAGTAACAATGAAATGCTATAAAGATTTTTTTAAAGGACGGTGGCGGAAGTTAGAACCATCACGAACAGCTATTTTCGTTTATTTATTTATTTTTTTAGCTGTTTCAGTTTTCATGTTGTACATGCATTTGTAAGTCCCCTCCCCCGAAATAGAACATTACCGTTTGCTTCAGTGAATTCAAAGACATGTTATCCAAATTCACTCCAAAACCTAGAATTTACTTTTTCTGGGGAATAAAACAACTAAGAATCCACCCTTTCATAATAGTACGCAACAAGAAACACACACAAAAAACCATGTCCGCTCAAATTGTAACAATATGATCCAGCAAAATGTACAAGTAAATTAAAAGCAAAATTCAGTGTTGGCAACATACAAAGGTTATGCTACCCCGTCGTAGACTTACACATATCACAGATCTACACCGAATCTAATTTGTCTAACACTTATCCCAACTGTCACCTTCATCTACCATCTTGTACCCACTGAAGTGGTGAACCCTGATCTTCCACTCTCCTTTGGTGGGATCGTACGATACAAACTCGGCACCTTGGTCCTCGGCCTTCTTCTTGAGCATTTCCTTGTACTTCTCGACCTTTGGTCCTTCAATATACTCCCGTCCAGTTTTTCTGTCCAGACATTTTATGTTGAGTAGTGTTACCTCAGCTGGCTTATTGAGCCCTTGACCAACAGGAGGCTTCTTAGCATCATCCTTGTAGACAACCACTTCACGATAGTTGAATTCCACAAGAGAATCCAGATCGAGCCGTCTTACGTCTGTCTCTCCAAAGAACTTAATACAGCCATATCCATGCCTTCCAACTACAAAGTCCTTGACACGACTGCAGAATCCAGGTTCAGCTCTTTCCTTGGCTGCCAATTCCTGAATTCGAGGTAGTGTGTAGTAATCTGATTGACGAAGCTTTGGCATCAAAGCCTCGATGTCAGCTCCATGCTCATACACAATAGCAGCCTCACCAGCTCTGTGACCGCTGAGTGTCATATATGTATTCCCTTTTGGAAGAGAGTGATCTTCCTTAATCCCATTGGACGTCTGCTCTGATCTAGAAGGCTCACCTTGCTCTTTAACAAAGCCATTTTCAGCTGGAATCAGGAATTTTTGCCAACCCAGCAAATGCATTGCCCAGCCAAAGCCAAGATGTCCATAAAACAGCCCAATTTGTCAAATAAAATCAACAAAATAGAAAGTTCCAACATTATATATACTTAAAGTTATAAGAAATACTCACTCCCTTTTTCCTGTGAGTTGGTCCTATCAGTAGTAGGTGCAGTACATGCTTCTTTAGTGTTAACTCCTGCACATAACGTACGTTTCAAATAACAAGTCATAAACCATAAGCTATTAAACAAGAATCTTGTTCTCTCAAAGAACAGAAAGTTGAAAGAAATATCATATGGGAACATACATCACACACTGAACAATAAAGGGCAAAAATCCCCATTGTATTCAACATTACTTCCTTCATAGCTCAAAATACAACAAATTACTGCAAAAAATCTAAAATATTACCATTCTCATTCACTGCAGTGGATCTATCCCTAGACGAGGATGCTTTCTCAGAATAAGCTTTAATAGGCCACTGTTCTGTTGGACAAATGACCAGCGCCCTTGGATTTTCCCTGGGAATGTAAAGAGCATCAGCCTTTGGTGTTGCTGGTGTATCTTCATCATCACTAAAGAATGGAACCTGCATGACAACCATAGTGCATGCCCACACCATAAACAGCTTGACTAGCAACCAAATTAAAAGAACCAATATAATCACAAATCAAGCTACTGAACTCACCCTTGGTCCATCATTTTTAGGATGATATTTCCTGACAGGAAACTTGATCCGTCTTTGTGAGAGGTGCCGAGATGTCAATAAGGATGATATTTTAACAGGAGGAGGTTTGTCTACAACCTAAAACAAAAAAGAAAGTCAGCTTTAAGTATAGCCACGTGGAAATTCTAACCTAGTTTATATGCCAAATTAATTGAAAGTAATTTATGCTAAGTTAACAATTCTCAAAATATCAAAGAAAATCTAAAAGCAACAGATTCTTTTACAGGCATGCTAGAAATTCCATATTGAATTGATGGAGCAGTTCCAGCTCGACCAATCATCATCTGAGGCATAGCAGGAAGTGTTCCAAATGGATTTGAAATGGGTGCTGCTTGCACAACTGCCGTGCTCTGGGCAGAAGACCTAAGAAACAAAAAAATCACAACATTAAAAAACTTCAAATGGATAAAATGACCAGAATAATTATCATATGAAAGATCACTATAGATTTGCCATCAAATTTAATGCATTACTACTAAACAACTTGAATTATTTATCAAAAGAAAAAAAAAGTAAAAGAATTCCCCCCCTCGGGATATTCACTACAAAATCAACTAGGCTGACTCCACCAGACATTTAAAAAAATACCAGTCTACTTAATGAGGAGCAAATTAAGCATGTCAGCATAAGAGATTACATTCTTCCTTACCTTCAAGCATATTGATGATTGATCTTTCTCATAAGCACATAATAACACTAACCTTTTTATAATTTTAATCAAAGAGATTAGACAAAGGATAGACAAGAATTTCTCCCACTTCATCTGGTGATTCTGGTCTGACCAAAGTTTGCCCCTTATGATTCATCTCTTATGTCTGTACATATGTTCCATTATGATTGAACCACCTATAGGATTCTAGGTCCTAATTGAGACTTTTCAGCATAAATAATACTGCAAATGTTGACAATTTAATTGTTGAAAAAAAAAAGTATAGGACTTTTTAAAAATAGAAGTTATTCATCATTTAAATAAGATGGTTAACTGGTGTAATCAGCAGAGTAATTGAGGCTCTGCTTCAAATCTTATTCAGTGAATATTAGAGAATACATATAGCCAAAGGCTAGGATTACACACAATCAGATCAAATCAGATTTTAACCTGATTTTAGTCCATAAAATTCTCTAATAATAATAACAGAAATAAATTGATTTAAAACCTAAATAGACATTAGGTTAGACCCATAATGGAAATGGGCCCAAGCCCAATAATGATGGCTTCCAGCGCTCCCCCTCAAGCTGGTGAATAGATGTTAATCATTCCCAACTTGCTTGTTGTTTCCAAATTTGGGCTTGGTTATAGACTTCGTGAGTACATCTGCAATCTGCAACCTTGTTGATGCATATTTGACTTCAACCAGTTTGCTGTCAAGCTTCTCCTTGATAAAATGTCGATCTATATCAACATTTTTTGTCCTATTATGGTGCATGGGATTCTTGACAATTCCAATGGTAGCCAAGTTGTCACACAAGAACTTCATAGGACCCTCATAAGTCATATGTAACTCCTTAAACACCCTCTGAAGCCAAACATTCACAAACACCATGTATATGTGCTTCTTGTTCAACTTCTGCACTGCTTCTGAATAGTCTGCGTTTTACTTCTCAAGTTACCAAGTGGCCCCACAAGAAAGCACAAATGCCAAAAGCCCAAAAGTGGATCTTCTATCAGTCACAAACCCCGCCCAATCTGCATCCGAGTATACCTCAATGCCTCTGAGTTTCCTTCTTGAAAAACAGGCCCTTTCTAGTTGAAGATTTTAGGTATCTCAAAATTTTCAAGGCTACAGTAATATGATCTTGGTTAGGTTAGCTTGAGAATTGACTCACCATATTGATAGGGTAAGCTATGTCTGGTCTAGTATGGGATAAGTAAAGTAGTTTCCCCACTAGCCGCTGGTATTGTTCCTTGTTGATTAAAGGGCAATCCTCTAGATATCCCAATTTAAGATTTAGTTCCATAGGAGTAGCTACTAGCCTACATCCTAGCATACCCATTTGTTGCAGAAGATCAAGTGTATATTTTCTCTAAGACACTGATATGCCATTTTTAGTGCATGCTACCTCCATACCTAGAAAATACCTCAATGTACCAAGGTCATTTACCTCAAATTCTGATGCAAGAAAGGTCTTTAACCTTTCAATTTCACTAAAATTATCTCCTGTAATTATTATGTCGTCAACATAGACTATCAAAATAATTTTCTTCCATTCATTGTGTTCAATAAACAAAGTACGGTCAGATTGGCACTAATTGTATCCACACTTTTGTGCAGCCCTCATGAAGCATTCAAACAACACTCTTGGAAACTACTTTAGGCCATATAATGATTTCTGAAGTTTGCATACCTTGTTCTTATCCATTTCATTTCATGTGAACTTCTAAAGCACCATGTAAACTTCACATCCATCCAGTACAAGGGCCAGTCAAGATTTTCTGCCAATGAGAGCAACACTTTCATGGTATTGAACTTAGCTACACGTGCGAATGTCTCAAGATAATCAACTTCGTAGGTTTGTGTAAACCCTCTAGCTACCAATTGAGCTTTGTACTTGCTCACACTGCCATCAGGGTTATATTTCTCTGTGAAGATCCACTCACACCCCACAACAGAATTCCCTTTTGGCAGGTCTGTTAACAACCAAGTGTCATCCTTCTTTAGAGCTTTCATTTCCTGTTCTATATCCACCTTCCACTCTAGGATTTGCATAGCTTCACATACATTCTTGGGAATATTTTCTTCCACAACACTCATTAAATGCTTTCATAATAGGAGATAATTTCTCATATGAAACAAAATTAGCAATAGGATGTTTAGTAGTGAATAGGGCTAAGCAACTAGTAGAACGGGCTGGCCCCGTGGCCCATCCCATTTTATTTTTATTGTAAACAAGAAAGGACAGGCAACCTAAATGGTAACCCGTAGTCCGTCCCGCCTATTTAGAATAAACACGTGTTGGCTTGTAATTTTAGCCTGCCCATTTTCCCCCCCTTCATTAGGCAAGTTTTAGCCTGCCCATTTTCACCAAGTACAGGTAGGTCTGGCAAGCTGCGGGTTGTCTGCTCACCCCTACTAGTGAATGATCTTGCCCCTTTTCTCAATGCTATTGGCCACTAGAGGTCGTTTGAAGGAGGTTTTGAGGCTGAGGTGGATGATTGATGTGGCGTGCCATTTCCAACTACATCTAGATCCTTGGTGTGGGCTGCTTCCTCATGAGATTCAGGGAGGTCAGACCTGATCTGCTCCTCTAAATGTTCCTTTTCACTTGCTACAAAAACATGTGTTATTTGGGTTAGGTTCAAATTGCTCAGGGAGTGGGGTTCGCTCAAGGGGCGAAAGTATGAAGACTAAATGTAAGCGGGCTGAATGATGGTGGGCTGTTCTAGGTGGTTTGGATAAAATGGCAATTCGTCTGCAATAGTGTCCCTCTCCCCCTAAATGGGCATTTTAGGATAATAACGGCTCCATTCATGAAAAGATAAGAAAAATAGTATTTATGAGTAGGTGGGTCATAGCATAAACTTTTTGAAAGTTAGAGTAACTAACAAACACACACTTGAGAGCATGAGTATCAAGCTTAATGGAGTGAGGATTATGGACATAGGCAAGGCAACTCAAAACTTTTAAAGGCAAGGAGTGTAAAAGAAGCAAGGAAGGATAGTGATAAAGTAAAACTTGATGTGGAGTGCAATATTTGAGGACTTAGAAGGGAGAGCAATTAATGAGGTGGATGAAGGAAAGGGCAATATCGCCCTATAGGTGCTAGGTGCATTGGTGCCTATTAAAAAGGCAAGAGTGACATCAAGAATGTTTGTTCTTTCTCTCAAAGACACCATTTTGTTGCGGTGTGTAGGGACAAGAACTTTGGTAGTGGATGCCCTGCGAAGCATGATATGAGGAAAAAGAGTTGCTAAAATATTCCTTACCATTATCAATGGCAGGGTTTGAATTGTAGTATGAAATTGTGTCTTAACCAATGCATGATTAATTGCTGAAAAATGGTGAAAACCTCAAATTTCTCGCCTAAACTATACACCCAAGTCAAACAAGGGTGACCATCGATAAACGTCACAAAGTAACGAGCCCTAATAGTATTGGTAACCCAAGAAGGACCCCAAGCGTACAAGCATGAGAAGGATAAGAATTGCAGGTATGTTTAGGCAAAGAAAAAATATCACAAGTAAAATAAGATAAATCTTTATTCAAAACTGTGGTTGCTAACGTTTGAAATTGTCCATAATAGGATGGCCAGCACAATATTGCAACAAAGTTATTTCCTCTAAAGTGGATTCAAAAATAAAGGAGGAACAAATGAAAGGTAAAGAGGATGCAAAAAGTGAAGTCTTCACTGTCACTGGTTTAGTAGAGATCACTGTACCAATCACACCAACATCCTCCCCAACCTTGTATCCCACAAGCCACCATAGCAGATGTTTCACTCGAAGGTGGAGGATGAGAAGCACTAGTGACATGCTTCCAGCTTTCTTCCCCACAAATGGCAGAAGAGGCCTCATGGATGGAGGCAAGAGGAGAAAAACTCAAAACTTGGCTCTAAACCTCTTCAAATTCAGAATTCAACCCAAGCAGAAACTTGTACACACGTTCTTGTCTCCACCAGTTTTTTTTTTTTTAATGGTAATTAGCATCAGCAATACAGGACCACACACAAACCTCATAGAGATCAAGTTGTTGCTAAGGTTGGATCAAATTATTGTAATACACAATCACGGACAAAGCTCCCTGTTTCATTTCATGGAGTCATCCCTTGACATCAAACTAAACAGCATCTGAAGGTGAAGATAAGAGTTCACAGGCTACCTCCCAAACGCCATGAGCAAAGTTGGTAGAGCATAAAATTTCTCCCAACATCAGGGGTCATGGAATTAACTAACCAGGGCATAACCTGATTATTTTTAGCAAAGCCAAGTAGGATACTTGGCATCAGAAGAAGGGGGAGAAAGAGATCAGCCATTAATATAATCTTCTTAACCTCCACCTTGAATGAACATAATCTTCTTTACATCGAGCTAATGACTAGTGATTAGAGAGGAGAGATCACTGGCGACAAAGGTGTGAGACAAAGCACCAAAGGATGCATTAGCGTGCGACAGGATGGTAGGCTCAAAGCTTGCATGAAACGCATGATAATTTCTAAATTGGAGAGCCATGAAGGTTCATCTCTAATACCATGTAATCGGCCGAGTAATCAAGGCTCTGCTTCAAATCTTATTCGATGCATTTTAGAGAATACATATAGCCAAAGGCTAGCGTTACAATAATCAAATCAGATTCTACTCTGATTTTATTCCATAAAATCCTCTAATAATAATAACAGAAATAAATTGATTTAAACCCTAATTTGATATTGGGTTAGACCCATAATGGTAATGGGCCCAGCCCAAAAGTGACAGCTTCCAACAACTAGTAACGGTAAAAAAACAAAAAAGGAAAATTAACTCCATGCAGAAACGAACTAATTTCAGTCCATACCAACCCCCATTCTTTAGATAAATACCCCCTTAGCTTCATTAGCACAGGGGTGTCTGCACTTTTTCAAAGAACTCCCTTCTTTCTCAAAGGAGGAGTATTAAAAGTAAGGGAAAATTAATCATTCGATATTTATAGTTTTGACTTAGTTAAAACTCAATCCTAAACTTTGACTTGACACAACTCAATCCCTATAGTTTTTACCATTAAAATGCTAGTCCCAACATTTCAGAAAATAAAACTATCAAGACTAAAGTTATTTCTTGGGCTTTAAGGAACAATGTTTTAAACAGTTAAACCAAGAGGAATTGACTTGGGCTGAGTCAAAACATAGGGTTTAAAATAATTTTCCCAAAAGTAGTGTACCAAGTTATGTTTAGGAAGGCGCTTGGAAGGGATAAGTGTAATTTGTTTTCCCTAAACTATAGTTTATCCTGAAACTAATCACATATGAAATGAGATATCAATTTGTATTCAACTAGAGAATAGAGACTACTTAAGAAAAGTAAGAAGCGGACAGAAAAAATGAGCTTGACAATTCTAAAACCCTAAGGAAGATTTAAAAATCTTCAGTATTTTTTGAGAGAATAGAAATTTTCATTTCAGTATTTGTTCAAAAATGTAGTGGATGACTTTGACAGACAGTATTTTTAACTTACGAGAGTCCAAGGTTACTCTGACCAAATATGCCCGGGGTGCCACCATAGCTACTTACACCAACTGCACAAGGAAGCAGAGCAAAACGGAGTGTCAAAAATTAGTAATTCAATCATTGCAACCCAAACAAATAATATTATAGAGAATAGATTGAACTGACCAGGTTGTGTCTGACCAAAATTACTGAATGCAAAAGTACCACTAGTTTGAGCTGCTTGTCCTGTTTGGAAAGGTGTTGAAAGTGATGGCTGCAAATATAGTCAGATCAAATCAATTACAATATCAAAATAGAATAAGAACTAAAATTAAGTTTATCCTTCAAATGACAAAATCAAAATTAAAAACTACTTAGGCTGGGACTTGTAAGCAAGAATGCAAGAGTAAGAATCAAACATGACTAGCACTCCAATAAAGAATCCAAAGATAACAGGTGAGACTAAGAACATTTTGAAACATTTATTTAATAAGAAACCACTTACTGCTGTTTGACCAAAGCCCGCCAGATTGCTGGAAGTGAGCGATGCACTGCTTGAGAACATGTTTCCACCAAGTCCAGCAGAAGGTGAACTGAACAAGTTTGATTGACTAAATGCGGATGCATTCTGTCCAAACAGGGAGGTACCCTGTCCAAAAGCAGAACCTGGTTGTGCAATTGTAGGCACTGCAGAACTGAATAGATTCGATGACTGAGTGTTGCCAAAATTTATGCTTGAACCAAATGGCGAGGATGTGCCCAGAGCAGGTGAAGAACTAAACAGAGGTGATGGAGAGTTAGCTCCAAATGTAGATGTTGATGATCCAAAAATAGAAGGCGGTGCTGCTGATGTCGAAGTACCAAATGCTGATGAACTGAAGGCAGGAGTTGATGATGTTCCAAAGCCAGTACTAAATGCTGAACTCTTTGCTGCAAATGGATTAGACGGGGTTGAGGTAGAGAAAGGATTAGCAGCCGATTGACCAAAAGATGGAGAAGGAGCAAATGTGTTTGTCTGGGTGGTGGTTGAACCAAAGCCAGCCAAGCCAGTTGACTGAGCAGAACTGAGAGGCCCACCTAAGTTTGTATTAAAATATGATAGAATAATCAAGCTCATCATTAATGCAAAGAAAACCAACAAAACCATAAAATTATAAATTATTAATAAAAATGGCAATCACCTTTGTCTCCAATTTGATAGTCCTCCCATCTTAGCTCCTCATGGCTTTTTTCTTTGTAAATAGGCATGGCTGATATGGACTCCAATTTAGCAGTTTGTCCAGAGGTGCCGCCATCTGCTTCAGCCGTTGGTGTATAATTAGCAACTCTACTCCCACCCCGTTGACCCCCAAAACCAGGCTGCCCAATTCCAGTACTTCCAAAAGCTGAAGAAGTGGTCTGAGATCCTGATTGAGAAAATATGCAGAGGTGACTATCAATTGTAGCACAAGACATAAAGACATCAAAATTTCAACACAAAAGATACAAAAGATATGAAAAAAAAAAGAAAAATCCTTTGTAACTTAAGATATATATATATATATATATCATAAATTTAAGCATTCAACTACATAATTCCAGATTCTAAACTCACCAAATGGAGAACTCTGTCCACCAAAAGGTGAAGTGCTTCCAAATGGACTGCTGCCAAATGCTGAAGTAGACTGACCAAAAGTTTGAGAGGAACCGAAACTAAAGGAAGGAGTACTAGGAGCACCAAAAGCAGTAGCACTAGATGCCCCAAATGCAGGAGTGTTCGTAGTGCCAAATGCTGGAGTGGTTGAAGAACCAAATAAAGAGGTACTTGATGCTCCAAATCCTCCACCAGCTCCAAACATAGGGGAGCTTACACCAAATGCACTCCCTGTGCCGCCAAAAGTTGGACTTGAAGTTGAACCAAATGCGGGGTTGCTAGCTGCACCAAATGTTGTAGTGCTTGTAGAACCAAATGCAGGGGTGCTTGTAGAACCAAATGCAGGGGTGCTTGTAGAACCAAAAGCAGGGGTGCTCGTGGAGCCAAATGTTGGCTGAGATGATGCACCAAAAGGTGTTGAAGAACCAAATATGCTGCTCCCAAATGCTGGTTGTGAAGGTTGTCCAGCACTTCCAAAAGGACTTGTTTGAGTGGTAGACCCAAAGCCTCCAAAAACAGGCTTTTGGCCAAAAACAGACGACCCTAGAGTACAAGAGAATTGTTCATCAGCACTAATTGTGAGATGATATGAGATTACACTGACTAGTCTGAATTTTGGTAACAAGACCTAATAAAACAATATAAAAAATCATATGGTTTAGATTCCCAAAAAAAAAAAAAACCATCAACAGAGGTGGGAAAACAGGACAAAAGGTGCTGATGGATGTCCTTATAAGAAGTGAGGTCAAGGAGCCATAATCAAAAGGAACGGTAATGAATTTAGCGTAGTCATTAGATTCTGTAAAGAGCACATGCGTATGAAAGTCATTACAAACATTTTTTTATTACCTCATGCATCCAACGAGATCAAAGTACCAAAATGAAGAAAACTTATGGCTGAGGGCAGTCTTAAAAAAATGGCACGTTATTTGTTCCCCTTTATGAGACAGACACTATAATCGAACTCAAAGAGCACCTTAACATAATCCTGCATTTTAAAGTGTATACTCCCTCCGGTCCAAAATGTAAGTATCTTTTAACAATAATCCGCATATCAATAAAATCCTTATTGCTATGAAAATATATATTATTTTTCTTTTTTACCCTTAGTTCCAATTTATGATGAGTAGAAGGTCATAAATTTACAAACACAAGAATCTGAGTTAATAAATATAAGGGGTAAAGTCAAAAAGAAAAATTTTACAAATACTAAGTTGCTTGTATTTTGAACCAAAATTAGCGAGGAGAAAATGTTTGTAATTTGGACCGAAGGGAGTATATGTGAGAGTGTATGCTCTGTTTTTTTTTTCTTATTTTATATAAAGCAAGGCAAATTAAACAAGAAAGAATGACATCAGACAAAGATAGTTTCACACCATTACACATATCCACAGTAATCTGATTTTCTAAGGATTCAAATGAGTGAATTTGATAAACACTAGAGATATACTTCTAATAACGAATGGTATAACAAATAAATCAAGTACATTTGCTTACCAGCAAATGATGAAGATGAATTACCAAAAGCTGGAGTTGAAGATGATCCAAAAGCAGGCATTGAACTACCAAAGGCTGGTGAAGAAGAAGCACCAAAGGTGGTTGTTGAGGAGAAAGGAGATGAAGATTGAGATGCACCAAATACACCAGTCGAAGTGCCTCCAAACAGGGAACTACTTGCTTGTGAGCCAAATGGTGTTGTACTACCAAATGGCTTTGGGGCAAAAGGATTGCTATTTGATGCATTGGTCTGCCCAAAAACTGACTGGGAGCCAAACGGGCTCGAAGATGACTGCCCAAAAGCTGTTAAATGATGTCATCATATTAATGGGTTGCAAAAACAGCCAACAAGCAAAGAAGCCAGATGCTCCATGGGGAATTGCAACACGAAAACATAAGTAATAAATAACGAAACATCATATCCAACAAATAATCTCTTCAAGCAATCAATGTCTCATGTATCACTTAATAAAAAGCAATAATCTGATTAATTATCAAAACAAATAGAACTGGCAGAATTTTGGTAATCAAAAGCATTAACAGATGAGGAGGAGAAAGAGGACCCATATCACCACAGGCTTAAGGTCAGAAGAAACAAATGAAAAATTAAATACTTCAAGAATAAGACCACAAAATGTTGAAAAAGCAAGTTGAACATAAACGCAATAACAAAGATGAATTTCAGTGCTGAAGGCAACAAGAGTAGAACCAGCACAAAAATAGTGCATCACCTAATGTTGACGTACTCTGGTTTGGGGGGAAAAAAAACTAATGTTGACGCAGGCAATAAATGATACAGAATTCAGTGGCTTGTCAGAATTAATTTTCAGACGATCATTTTATATTTAGTCATTTTGTATGCCTTAAAGTAATTTGTTAGATTGAGCTGTATAGCCAAGTAGGGCTGAGTCTATCAAAGGAGGAGCAGAGAAGCAATAAAACAGGCAGTATAATAGACTAGGGGGAAACACTTACGGTTTGTCGAACCAAACATGCTTGTAACTTTCCCAGAGCAGCAGAAGCTTTCTGTTTCCAAACTGATAACATAGCAAACAAAACTCATTAACATTAGGATTTCAGTTAATTATAAACAAGATTTCCATAATAGAAAGAACAAGACAAACTGCAACACGTGCCACAATGATCGCAGCACTAGGCATAAAAGAAAGATACTGATATCCTAATGCCATCATGAGGAATTTCGCCAGCACGGGCAAAATAGAAACTTCATTGAGTGACCATACAGGGGCAAAATGCATTAGAAAATAAGATTTTAATGGCAGACAAATTCAATTAATATCTACATGTTGTAGGAATACAACAATGCAAATTGTCTAATCACAGGCAATGTGCCTTTGAGGGTTAGGCAACTTTTCCTCAGTGACGATGGTTGCAAGTTGCAAGTGATGAATCAAGAAATAACTTCAGTTCAGCAAAGGAAGAACAACAATAAATTTTAGTCTTAAGCTCTTTGCGTTGTGTGTTCGAGGCGAACATGGAAAAGTTAAACAAATCAAGGAGAAAGACTCACGGCGTACGGACAAGATAGATCTTTGCGTCGGAAAAGGTCAATTAGGGCAAGGGATGGAAGAGAAGGAAATCGAGCTCGAAAGATATTTTCCCTGGAACACTTTGTAGGAGAAGCACAGAGAAGAGCGAATGGCCGAAGGGTCTGAAACTGAGTCTCTCATTCATAAATTAGGCCAAGCAGGGCAGTAAGGTGAGTGACACAAGCCGGCCGGAGAGGGTTCCTTTTGTGAGAGGAAAGGCCGCGTAGCGTTAAAATTCCGTCTTGTATTAGGGAGTAAGCAAAACTTAAAAATGGGGCATATACGTGCGCACACACGAATGTGCTAATAATAATAATAATAATAATAATAATAGTATTTAAAACTAAACCAAACACATCTGAACCAAATCAATATGAATCTATTAAAATTAATTATAAATAAAATCTAGTTTGGTCTTTCTTTTAAATAAATCGATTGGTTTGTTCCGTCTTAATTTTTTGTCTTTTGAAATTTAAACTAAATCAAATCAAATATTTGTTTTGTTAAAAAAAATATAATATATTATTAATTGAATCTCACTTTTAAAAAAGTAGTTACTTGTCTTTAAACTGATACTATCGTTTCATATTTACCTTTATGTAATAAAATATTTTATTTTAAAATAAATATAAAGTGATTATTCAATAAAGGTATTTTTAAAAAAATTCAACAATTACACTTGAAAATATTAAAAATGTTTTATATTTTTTAATAGATAAAATATTTGGCTTTCACAAGACTTATTATTTATTTTATATATTTGTATAACTTTGTCTAATTTTTTCTCTTTGTCAAATTTTGTTAGCTATAAATCACTAGTTAAAAATATATTACAATTAGTTAAATATCGTTTATAATTTTTTATGGTAATTTTTTTAATTTTATAACAACATATTTTAAGGATAACATATAATAAGTATTTTACAATTATTTTTTATTAGTTAAATGTGTTAAATAATTATTAAAACATATTTGGCTGTTCTTAAGAGAATTTTTTTTCATTGAATATACTAATTACTAGTTAAAAGTTATTAGTAAATATGCATGTGAGGCATGCATATGTCTATAGATTGTGAAAATTATTTTAAAAAAATAAAGCTTTATCTAAATCTAAACCAAATTAATTAAAAGAAAGACCGAATAGGTTTCAAGTTTTGGTGAATCAATTAATTTGGTTTTTTTGCAAAATCAAATCAAACTAAATTTATGAACAACCTTACTTTTGGAGAAAATTCAACATCCCAAAATATAGATATTTTTTATAAAATAAATTTTTATTAATTATATTTTTTAATATTATCCTTCTCATTATATTCTTTTTATAATAAATAAAGGGTATTTTTAGAAATTTATACTTTTGTCTTGATAAAATAAAATTAGTAAAGGTATTTAATGAACGTTATTAATTGCACAATTTTGTTTAAAAGTATTTTATAAATTAGGACAAGGGATTATTGATGAAAATTATATACTTGTGATATAAAATAATTCTTCAAACCAAAACATCCTTTTCAGGAATAAAAAAATAGATACATCTCATTCTTTTGTTTTAGTTATTGAGTTATGAAGAATGCAAATTTTAATGAAACAAAATATGCATTGCTCTATATAAGAATAAAGAATTAGTTCATTTATATAAAAATATTATTTTATTCATTTTTAAAATTAAAAAGCTCTAATAATAATGTAAACACATTTAGTGACTCACCCAATAAAATATGAGCAACACTTAGGCAGACTAAGTCCGCCACCTCATTTGTGGACGATCCAATTAAAATGCGGCAAGTGATCTTATTTTAATCCTAATTCGTAGTTGCTTAATTAATTTCCCTCATTTTATTTAAAATATAATACTTGAAATAAATGCATGAACAAATTGCCAAGCCATGGTTTGTTTTACTGTTGAATCAGATGGTTTGTGAAAGATTACTAAGTTAATCACTAAGCATAACCATGAATTTGTAAAAGAAGAGCATAAACATCTAATGTGTTCTGTTCAGAGTATTCCTACAATTAAGGGTGATCTTATTAGCTCTATGGTTAGTGCTAGAATTAGAACTAAAGACATGTGGAGTTATTTGGGTGAAGAAACTTATGGGTTTGATAAGATTGGATTTTCAAAAAAAGATTGCTACAATTATGTTAATAAGAAAAAGTTAAAATTGATAAAATTGGAGATGGTAAGAGTTTGGTTAGTCATTTACAAAGCCAACAAGCAGAAGATCTAATGTTTTACTATAATGTTCAATTTGATCAAGAATTACATTTGATGAATGTCTTTTGGAAGGATGGGAGATCACTACTTGATTATGATTGTTTTGGAGATGTAGTGGTTTTTGACACAACTCATCGGATGAACAAGTATGATTTAATTTGTGGACCTTTTGTTGGGGTAAATCATCTTGGCAAAATGTATTGTTTGGTTGTGCTTTCTTGACTAATGAATCAATAGAGTCTTTTGAATGGTTGTTTGAACAATTTCTCCAATCTGTGGAATATCAACAAACAAAAAGTATTTTTACTAATCAAGATGCTGCCATGGCTAAAGCAATTGAAAAAGTATTTCCTAATACCAAGCATCGCTTTTGCTTATGGCATATATCTAAGAATGCTCCATCTCACTTATGATCCTTAAACTCTAATAGAGAATTTCAATCATTATTTCAAAAGTGCTTGAAAGGGTGTAACTCAAAAGAGGAATTTCAAATCACATAGGATGAAATGATAAGTAAATTCAACCTCAACGAACATAGTTGGCTAAGTAAAATATATAGAATTCAACATGAATGGTCAACAGCATTTGGTAAAGATACATTTGGGTGAAATATCTACCAAAATGACTACTATAACACAATTCTTTAATTTTGGAGGATGGTGAAAAAATGGATAAGCTCTGAGGCTGATGAAGATTTTCACAATAGTCAAGGCATTCCTTCAAGTGATACTAATAGGAATAGAACCTTACATCATGCATCAAAGATTTATACCCTTAAAATTTTTAAATTGTTTGAGAAGAAATATTTGGATGGAGTAGATATTTTGTTTAAAGAAGTTATGAGACATGAGGATATTTTTTACTATGAGTTGTGGGTGGAGGGAAAGGATTCAAAGAACTAGGTTGTGCAGTTTGATTCTTCTAATGAAGATGTTACATGTAGTAGCAAAAAGTTTGACTCTATGGGTATTCTCTATTCATATGCATTAAGAGTTTATAACATTAAATGTGTGACAAGAGTACCAGATAAATACTTCTTAAAACGATGGTCAAAGAATGCAAAGTTTATTGACCATCATCATGAAGGAAAAAGTGCAATTAGTGAAGATCCAAAAATTATATACCGCAATTCCATTGTTAGATCTTTCTATAATCTTGTGTTGGCCACACAAAAACACAAGGAAACTTAAGGTATCATGTGGAATGTTATCAATAATGGATCACAAAAAATTCAAGAACATCCATGTAAATTAGATAAAAGTAATGATGTGGAAAAGAAGAAAGAAATTCATATTGACAATCAAGATGCATCTCAAGGTGTAGGCCAAATTCTTGATTCCCATAAAGCCAAAGCCCAATGGGAGTGGAAATGGTAGAAAAAAGGGCCACTTTGAAAAGCAATGAAAATCAAGTAAGATATAAGCTTTAGTTTACATACATATGATATATTAATTAGTTATGTGTTTCTAACATCAAATTCTTTTGTAGAAAAACAAAAAGGAGTGGAACATATTGCTTCGACTATATCAAATGTTACTTCTGTTCCACAAAGCTTTGGTCATACTTATCCACAAGTGGGTAAATGTGCTTACATTTATATGACAATAAAAAATTGTTTATAAACATTTATTGAAACTACTTATATCTTATAATATAGGTTAATTCCACTCAAGTCATTTATCCTAATCATTCTATGATCCCACCTATCTATTATGCCTCTTGGAAGATTAGAAGCCCATTTCACATGACTGATATGAGCAACAATTTAAGTCAGGTCTAATTCAACCAGTAATGTTAATTAGATACTTTCATCTTTTCAAGTTATTTCATTATGTTATACTTTTTTAATACTAGGACAGAATAGAATAGATGTAGAAAGAGAATAGGAGGAGAGAAGAAGAGATGAGGTTTAGAGAAGATGAGAGACGAGAGGGTGAAGAGAAAGAGAGAAAAGAGAGGTGAGAACTTTCTGAATAATATCAAGTCTATTGATCAACAACACAACACAATAAAACACAAAAGTATTTATATAACCGCTAAATATACCCACGGCTAGTAACCAACCAATGGTTATACCTGATTAATAAAATGTGAAAATTACAAAAACATAACAATACCCCCCCCAAAAGATCCTTGCCCTCATTAATAACAAATTGAGGAAATTTCTGCTGTAACTGATGTAGAGCCATCCAAGATGCTTCCTCATCAGGTGGTTGCTTCCATTTGATTAGAACTTCAGTGATAATACGTCCCCTCTTCCTACTAACTCACTTTTGTAGAATGCCTTCAGGTTCTAAAGTTGGAGGTAATTCTAGCCAATCAAGAGCCGAATGCCTTTGCTTAACTTTAGGATCAGGACATAGCTTTAATAAAGAAATATGGAAAGTTGGATGTATTCTAGATTCAGCGGGTAGTTCCAACTTGTAGGCAACAGTACCTATTCGTTCAATGACCTTGTAAGGACCAAAATACCTAGGAGCCAGCTTTTGGGTACTCCTTGCTGTTGCAGAAATTTGTCTATATGGCTCCAACTTAAGGAAAACCCATTGACTAACAGCAAACTCTCGGTCTGTCCTATGAGAATTAGCTTTATGCTTCATCAAATTGGCTACCCGATGAAGGTGATGCTTTAAAACAGCCAACACAGCTTCTCTAGCTGAAAAAGTCCTGTCTAAAGCATCTAAAATAGAACTATTAGGCAAATAAAGACAATGAATAGGAGCTTTCTGACCATACAAAAGTTCGTGTGGGGTTGCTTTAGTGGCTATATGAAATGCGGTGTTATACCACCATTCAGGTTGTGATAACCACTTACTCCAATCCTTGGGTTGCTCCCAACACATGCATCTAAGATAGGTTTCTAAGCACCTATTTAGGACCTCGGATTGCCCATCCATTTGAGGGTGATATGCAATTGAAAGTTGCTGCTTAATCCCCAAAACCTGCAAAAATTCCTTCCAAAACCCACTTACAAATATAGGGTCACGATCACTTATAATTTCAGCTGGTGCACCATGTAGT